CACACACACACACACACACACACACACACACACACACACATGATCAATCCCTCATTAGCGAAGACCTTTCACCACTGATCCCATTCCTAAATCGTCTTCATCTAGTATGTTATCCAAAACCTTCCGTCCCGTGATCATCATTTCCCGTTTATGGTCTAGCATTCGTGGGGCCAGTGACCCCCTTCAGTATATACCAAACAGATGCACGTTAGACGCTGATGCATTCCGTTTGTATATCTTTAGGGCGTTTCCCAAAAATTAATTCATTGTAACTCCCTTCATCATTCTTCAGTTTTCGGTTCGGTCCCATAATCTCTTCTCCTCTCCCGTTATTTTCGTGGTTGAAAGACTAATTTTGGGGAAGGACTCAAAGAACAAAAGCAAGCTGAACAGTCTCGAAACCGTGCGTGAATCAATAATTTTTGAGTCGAACAAGGTGATATGTTCTCTCCATACTTATTTTTGGCATTTATAATTGAATTATTTTTTGTTCCGCTAGCCAAGATCTTCAAATATGCTGATGGTGGAGTTCCATGTCACGCCATCTCAAACCAGTCTGATATGAAATTTTCTGACAGTTAAGCACACGTGCGAATATGATCAAAGCAATCTAGCCTCCAGTTGAATGCTCCTAAATGTTTCCACTGCATTTCAGTCTGTTTTCAGTATCCCTAGGAACTCTTAATCATCCCCTCTGTAGCCACTACACACCACCGAATACCGAGAAGTCGCCACAGAGAGAGCGCAATCTCTGGCGGTCCTCCCATGTTGGAACCTATGTTGGTAAACTGCAATGCCTATCTTTCCAGACACCCACACTAACACAATTTAGAGTAAAATATACAACTATATATTCTTTTATTTATCAGTGCCTTATTCTATCATACTTTTCCGTTTCCCTATGATTTTTGCTGATTTACTTCAAAAGGATTCCATAAGTCTTCACCGCTGCTTGGCAATTATTAGCCGTGTTTCTCGTATTCCCATAAAAACTAATTTAAAAAACTTTGTGATCCTCATGCATCACGTCCGGTGAAAATCGACAAATTTCCTAATAAGTTCATACTAATGGAACTCCTGTCGGAGANCGGAGAGTACCTTCTGACTTACCTGTGCAGAAAACAGGCATCCAACATAAGCCACTGAAATCTATGGTCAGTATGGTCAGATCGGAAACCGATAATTAAATGCAGGTGTTGTCTAATATCTTTTCGAGACAACCAACTAGAGCAACGTATCAACCATAGTCAATCACTGCAATCACTGAATCAGACAGGGAAGTCTGATAAAAGCAACTCATATGACAAACCGTCGTCTGCAGTTATTTCATTATCAACGTAACAGATCCGAATACATCAGTAAACAGATTCACAGAGCACAGCAATGAACGAACCTATTGTGGATCGACTGGAAGCAAATGAACAGTGTCATGTGACACAGTCNCATCTTTTCCCTTTTGTCCATTTAAGGAAGGGGGAAAGTCGTTGCTCTGGCGCTATTCAGTAACGAGTTCGTTAAGCTAACTCGAGGAGGATTGACCGATGTAACTGTTGTTTGATTGATTGTTCAATCCGTTTACTGACTGACAATTCATTGAATGAAATATCTAATGATGAGTAAGTGAGCGTATGAGTCAATCAATCGGTTAAACCAGCCGATTAAAAGACAAGGGATCACTGTAGAGAAAACCGCAAATAATTCGATCTAGAGTCTCGTTACAATCACCGGTGCCAGATGTGCCCTCGTTTGTCAGCCCTATAACCACGTAAACACCCTGCAGACACTAAGTGCGTGTGAGTGACCGGTGGCGGTTAGCCTGACTCACTCGCTCGTGTATGGGTGTGATTTTTTCACTTTGGTGTATCACTCACCCACACACAATTCGATCCTTGTATAAACAGCCCCACGCGTACGACGGGAGGTACAGAACACATACCAGGCTAGACTCGCACACCCGGGTTCGAAACAAACAACCATTCCAAACTTGATGGTTTCCGGGGTCGGTTGGGATTTGTTTGAAGTTGACTGATAGATGCAGTCGAATGATTCTCGTTTAACTGTAGTGAAAAGTGACACCGTGATGGGGTGCACTGAACAGTTTTGATACAGAGCACGGGTGTCGGGTTATAACCCTTAGTAATGTTAATAATATTTATACAAAACAACAGTCATTGCGGGCCAAAACAACATCAAGTTCAGACCAAAACAAACCAGAGAAGCAGTGTGAATAAAGTGTAATTGTAGTAGGAGAGGGGGATTCCCATTAACCTCAAGAACCTCGAAAAATATCATTGGATTTGTGTAACGTTAAACAGAAATAAAATTATGAAAACCTTAGTCTGATTGTTTGAATTATCTGTGATTGATACGTTTTCAATGTATTATAACATTCGAGTGTGCGGGGAAGTGATTTGAACGCAGAAAAGGTGGGGGCGTATGTATATATTCAGAATCAATTTCAAATTATTGTACAAACAATTTTGATAATTGCTAATAATCAGGTTCACATTCCTGATCAAGACAGAAATCTACGGTGTCACATCAACCTTCTCTCTCCCCCTGTTTCTGACCAATTGCAATTGTAAACTTAAGGAAGTAGAACATTTTATGGTCACAAGCTAAGCAACCATTGGGCTTGCACAAACGTCGTGCATCAGTGTGGTCTGACTCGGAAGGAATAATCTATTCCTTTTACGGTTAAGCCACTGAAAGCTGATTTGACCTTGGAAGAGAGTGAAACATGCAACGTGAAATCACACAATACGAATCTATGTGAACTAAGAAAACATTTTCGAATAAAAATCGACGTTTTTAATGCATTTGGATGCCTCAGAAGGTGGTTACACGCAAAAAATGTGCTGAAACAAAGTTGGGCGGCAATCTACTGAAAAGCTCCCGGAGACCAAATTCAACAATAAATTTCAAAACGACTATTCCACGAGTACCAATTCCGCTAGAAATTTTTTGTTCGGAACCAAACAATGCACATGAGTTGCACACTTATGGCATATCTTGGATAAGGGTAACAATAGGCCGTGATCACGATTGCCTCCTTCCTCCCGGCTTCAGTGGCCAGGGTGTGGTTTGATAATAACTCCACGTCTCAGAGTAGATCAAGGATCAGCAACACTGTGGTCACATCGGAAGCAAAACAAGGTTATTAGTGAAAATAACGGTGAATAAGCTTGGAAACGTGTTCCCACTGAAATGATAGTCTGATGTAAACACCGTGAATTTTCAAGTAGAACCCATCAGTGTGTTGGAGAGGAATCTGAAGGAAAAAGCATTAATTTATTTAATTTTAAAGGTGGCAAAAATTTCGTAGAGGACACTAAATACCACCGAATCTGAGTCTGACGACTCAAATAAAGTCTGGAGGTGGAAGCTGGATTGTGTATTAACTTNTCACACTCGATCAGAATGTGCATGAACCATTCTGAAAGGAAATTGATGCACTCAAAAAAGGGCCGTTGTTCAAAACAAAAAAAATTAGTTCCCACCTGAAGAAATCCATAGCGAATAAAATTACTGGCTTATCTCAGTAACAACCTGAACTTCAATTGACTACGCTCTAACCAATCTGGAGGAATCAAAACAGAAACTGCTAATTCACATCATACGAGTTGTTGACGAAGGATGTGGCAACGTACAACGAGCATAGTCATCTACATTCATCACGTGGTACACTCCATAAAAGTAAAAGAAAAGTTCACATGAGAGTGTAATAAACGAAAGAACAAAAATGGTAGCTCGTGTCTGTGTGCGTACACGCTTGACGAAAAAGACTGAAGAAAATGTGCTGTACAGGTCTAGCCACTGTATGTGGACAACGTCACTAATAGTCCACAAACGAATACCATCAACTGACCTGTACAAATTGACCTGACAAGCAATCAGATATTAATGGCCTGAGTGGGAACTCAAACTTTAGATCACAACAACTGATGGTAAGGTGCAGTTTATTCTAAAATGAAAACGTTCAAATTGTCAACTAAAGGAGAGTGAGAATCAACTGTCTTTTTTGGACAAAATGCTCCGCCGGGGGAGTAACACATATGAAGGAACAGCAATGGTACGAAACATTTTCCGTCTTAGAACAACAACCATAATTAACCATGTTTATTCACTTCGCTACCTGCATTTTATATCAGATCATTGCTAAATGGGGTTTAGAAACTCATTCGCCGCACACAAATACCTAAAATCAGACAAACGGATAGACAGACAGACACAATCAGGCACGCACGCATGTTGGGCTTACCCGGTGTGTGGCATGAAATTGTGCGTAGGTGGCAAATGTGGTGGTGATCTGATGCTTTGCAACGAAACCCCAGGGAGAACAGGATCATCCAACCGAACTGCGCTGGCCAAAAGTCTCAAATAAGCTGTGAACTCGGGGTCATCAGTGGGATTAGTGGTGTCTGTTGGAAAGTCATCAATCGGGGAGTTTTCGACAGGAAACCGAGGCGCTGTACCGGACAGAGGTCTCGGTATTGGGGGTTTCGGTGGGGGAGTATTGTGAGCGCCAACCGTGGCATCTACTTGAGACCAAAGTTTAACCAACAGAGCACGATCTGCCTCAGTCAGTATGGTGCATTGACTGTTCTCCTCCGAGGTAGCGTTCGATGTCGTTTCTGCAGAAGGATCCACTCCATTCGGAGGACAATCCCTGTCAGAATGCAGGGAAATGAACAAGAGCAGTCGTAGACCGGGATTTAGTAAATATGTGCACGAATGCACGCATATATCATGGAGAACCGAGACGTAGGTAAGAAAGCGTGAAATAACATAATAGAAGAAAAGTGCTTTAATCCCATATCAGTCCCTCTACGCGAGCTCGATGAAGATCGTTGCTTTTACCGCTGTGGACAGGAAGAGCATGAGAAAATAGGTCCTGTGAGGAGAGACCGATAAATAGAACGGAAAAAGTTTAAATTTAACTGAATTCAAACAAAAGGTCTCAGCCATTCATGCTCTGATAAAACAGACGTCTTGTTAGGAAGTGAACCCACATATGAATGCGGCCTAGACCGTTGTGCAGTTGATCCCTCCTGGCAGTAGGTACGCTCCACAGTTTTGCAGATCATGAATGCGAATACCATTGAGGCTCGTCATTGTTCCACAATTCGAATTCATAAAATCTAATTCCAAAGGCAGATGCACATTGTAAAAACAACCTGTGTAAACCATCAACTGTAAAAATACAAGGTCCGTACTTTTTTCGGAAACTGAAATGAACAGTGATCAAAATAGAACCGTTGCCAGTTTTGCAGAGGGTGTTGCTGAATTAGACATAGTATCCAGGAAAGGACAAATCGAGTTCACTGCAAGTGTTTTGAAATCACCCAGGAACTTGCCTTCATAAAAACGGTCGCTCCACTGACAATTTTTAGTTAGTTACGCCCGGCAAGAACGACGATAGCAGTAAGTTCCAACTATTCTTGTCTTCTGCATCGGGTGAGTGTTTTTACCCATTCATCAGGACAGTGGTGCAGAGCATCAGCATGGAGGTTGTGCTTGTGTGTCCATTGCTTCGAACTACCTGTACTTGTTGGCGAAGATGATTAACCAAATGGGATAGTGGGATTTTAAGTTGTTAAAAGTAAAACCATGAAAATAGCTACCAACCGAAACCCCCGATTGTCTTCAATCTTGTTGTCCAGTAACAATTCTGTTCATTTTCAACATCCACTTTTATCGATCACGATTCTTAAACCCAAAAATTGATATGCCCCAGCCTAAAGTGAAGTGTAAGAAGACTGCATTTCTCTCTAGAGCCAAATAAACTTCACATAAATGCCATCAGTTTACGAGTATTATGCGAAAATATAATTCGGTTCCTTTTCTTTAGATAGAAACAAAATTCTCCCATTAGAAGTTTAAATAAAGGAGCCAGGGGCATTGTTTTGCGCATTGCATCGCTTCACTACATCAGTACATGTTAGCACTGCAATCAACACAATTGTTTATAGAAGCCGAAAATCACAAACGATGAAGGACAGACAAAATTGCATAAATGTACAATCACAACAAAGTTTTCCGTCAACAACCGGCCCAAATTTCCTCTGTCCGTTCTGTTGTTCGGTTACTTGATTGCATGAAATTGGTCTTTGGTTTATTTCGTATATTTTAGCGCACGCAAACAATCATTGTGACTCCATTATGTACGCGTGAACCCGGATACATTGTCTAGGTCAAAGTAGCTGGCTTTCTAGTTTGAGAACTCTCCCAGACAAAATCAAATCGGTGATTATGGTGTTCTAATTGGCTAGTTATTCGCCCTTTACTATACCTTCTTCAATCAACGAGATCATGAGAGGAATCCCTTTAGTCTATAGATAATAGAAGTAATTGTGCAGTTACTGTGGCGTTATTCCCCTTCATTCCCGGCATAAATGATTTATCTATTCCAAGGGAAACTCGGCTCTAAAATTATACTTATGGCAAGGCTGTTACGCAACAGATAGAATTTCACTGATTATTCTACCACACTTCCAACTCTCACTGCCTCTCCGAAGACTGCTAATTGTTTTCGATGTAATATTCGGTTATCCAGTTATCTATTCCCACCAGACATGATCGATATTGAAACAACATATCCGGCAAAATTATGTGCATAAATTTCACGAATGTATTGTTAAAATAATGATAAAATGTTTCAATCGTGCACACGTGAGGATCTCAATGCACTGTGGGTGTTGCCCACCTGTGCCAACGAATTGTGTGCACCACTGTCATCGGATCTCAAGCAATCAGGAGAGAAGGACTGATGGCGCTTAGTCAAACGGTCGGGGTGGATCAAAGTGATCGGAAGTCGTGTNGTCGTGTGTGTGTGTGTGTGTGTGTGTGTGTGTGAGGAAATGAAGCGATTGTTGTGTAGGGTGACATAAAGCTTGAAGGGTGACTTATTTATTGTCCTACAGTTTGCAGGTCTCACAGTTATTACGAGATCGAGATAGCGAAAGCTTGTTTTAGAGCACAACTACAGGACACCCTCAGCTACAAAACACAATTATATCAGTTAAAGTAGATAAAAATTTGCTGGTTCCCTAGACTCAAACCTGTGCACAAAAGCCCTAGCTTCTTTGGGAAGGTTGGCGAATTTCTCTCATGGAGTGGCTCTCTTAAAGCATCGCCTGGATAAATCAAATCCACTTCCTTCTCTTGTGTGAGGAATTCTCATAGTGAAAAGGCCAAAGCTCAATATCTGGACTGAAAAATCACGAATATCAGACTCATCTTAGGGAAGGAAATTTAAAACCCTAATTTCGAACCTCCTAAGAAGAAGTGTAGGAGCTGGATTGAGAATATATTGGTCGTGAAATTCATCGGTTCGATTTGGTAGTCGAAGCGCGATGAGAACACGGAGCTCGTGGTGCAAACATTTGGGCACATATTGGCTTGAGTCACCTGGCCTGACTGGGTGATGGTTTGTATTGAACACCTTAGATTCATGAAAAACGTCCCCACTGTGTCGGATTCGTCTCATGGGAAACCGAGATTCAGGCTCAGGTTATTAGGTTCAGTTTATCAAGGACCCCGATTATAAACCCCGCAGCAAATCACTCGCGTTATTTCGGATAAACTGACAAAGTGGCGTCCACAAACAAATCACGGTCCAAATCTTATTTCAGAACTGCTTTATACCATCAAACAGAATCTCTGAGATCATCGACGACGTCTGAGGAAAGGGCGTTGGTCTTTCGAAGTTACAACCATAAGTAACAAAATCAACTCGATCCCCTCGAATTGCACTAAAAACGTGCGCTGTAAGTCAGAACATTAAGATGAGTGAGAACATCATCGAATTGGCGATGAAGTAGTAGTTAGTCTTAGACATTCCGAGGTGCTCCTAAAACTATCGGTGACCAGAAGCATTGATCATCTACTCTAGCTAGCCTGCCACTTGAATAACCCCAAGTTGAACCATTTGCATTGACACAAAGAGAAACAGTTACCGTACCGTGTCGGAAAGATATAAACACCCATATGATTCAAAGATGAAATTACGACTATCTCAAGTTCTAGAAAGATCTTTAAAGTATGTGTACATGACGCATCAAACTGCATCATACGTAAAAATAACTGGCTCCAAGTGTAAACTAACGGGAAGACATTTTGTTTTATTATGCTTCACTATCATTGTTCCGCTTTCTATTAACTGATACTACTCTATCTGTTAATCTCGACGCGGAGTAAAACAACTGCGACTGTCCGACCGAGCTTGTTGAGAGTGGCATCAGATGTCACTGGCTTCATTCTTTGCTGGGTAAAAAACTGCGGTAACACGTGAGAACATGTCGCTTTATTTTTTCAACGAGTCATATGATGTATTAGGACCCCGGTTTAAAAGCTGAAGTTGGAGCAAAACAAGCAGCAAACGACTTGTGCCGACTGAACAAGTGACCCCCAAACTGGGTCCCATACGGCAGGACAAGAAGAACGACAATGTAATGCCCCTCACTCTCTCTCTCTCTCTCTGTCTACTTGAATTCGAATGATAGACATACGAGCAGAGCATCCAAAAGGTATGTCAAGTACCAGCAGGGAATATGCCGGCTCTATTTGAGTGCTTCAATCACACCGCGGTTGATCGATTTTTGTGGCTGTGGTGAACGGAGGATCTATTTGAGAGAGAGAACATAAGATGCTCTTCTATAGGGTTTAGAATTTTGGATCGATGAGAGAACTGTGAATAAAGCAATATTATTATTATTCCTATGCTCTGTCGTCGGAAAGATTATGGAGTATGCTAGATGCTGACGTCGTGTCAAAACTGTGCGCAACAGATGTTTAGTTGGAACAAAAGTTATCAGCTGTGACTTTTGTGCACACCGAAAATGAGTTCACCGATGAGACTGTGACGAGCAAGCAAGCAAATTCAGGTCAGTTTGTGCAACCCACAAACCCTGCACGATCGTGCTCTGGTAACAGTTGCCTTGTTTTGTTTTCGTCACTCATCCGGTCAATCGATGAACAAGAAGAAAACACGGTGTGTTATCAAGACATAACAATGGAATATAAGAAAGTTAGATATGTAGGAAAAGTGATTAGATGCATGAATGTGATTGTTTAAAACACTCGATCATATCACTGGTGTCTAGCTATTGTGTAGATCAACAGATTATTTTATGCTGATGTATATTACCTGAAGAAAGTGCAGGAAGACAATCTTGACAATCTTGTAGCAACATCGTGTACTTAAAGTGTGTAGATTACATATCATACTGATCCATCAACAAGCAGTTTAGCGAATCTTGGATCGCCGGTGCATTATCACTAAACAACGCAATAACATCGAAGTAATCATTTTGTCTGCGACACTGTCTCCAGGATCAATCTTAAAGCCAGAGTTAAATACGTTGAGTAATGCTTTTAGCAAGAAACCATTGCTGAAAACGATGAAGTCAAAGTCAAAGTTTTACCATGGGAATAACTTACAAGCACAGGATTCTCTTGTCCCCACAGGATATTTGCACAGATGAATCGTTACACACCAAAAAAGTCACATAGAGTTCCGGGTAGGAGATAATAGAGAATGTAGGCCACAGTGAATTTGTGTTTACTTTTAGTGGTGTACGAATGGGAGGTGCGCCAAGTTTTCATCGAGTCTGTGATTGAAAGATTCAATAGTGGGTGCACAAACGAAATGAGGTGGAAGGGCGTTCTACGAACTGCATACTCTGACTGCAAAAGACTGGCGCCGGCATTCCAGTCGACAGTTTGGAATCAGTAGCTTGAAACGGTGTCCCCTTAGGTGTATATTGTTCGATAACATGAACAGCGACCGACACGGATGGTTTGGGTTCTGCAGTATTTGATACGTCAAAATCAAGAGAACCTGGGAGATAGGGCAAGTCTGTTGTATCCCGCAGCGCAGAGGAAACGAAGGGGACAGTTCGCTATAGGCCCTAACCTTCCCCGAGGTCTGACGGTAGAGTTCTTTAAAAACTAGAACATGTTTCTTGGGGACTCCGTATCTCAGCAGTTTCACAGAGCAGTAAAATCGATCGAAACCGCTCTCGTGTGTGAAATCGCATTGGTTTGCTGGTGTTCTAGCAGCTGACGGAATTTGAAGACTGGATATACGCAACCACGGCCTACACCGAAATTCATGGATTTGTCTCTGAACAATCGGACCCAATTTGCATAATAAAACAAACGCCTGTAGTTTCGGCGCTACTGAAATCACACTTATGTCCCTACGATTGCAACATTATGGCAGTTTTTCTTGAAAATAGTATGGAAATCTGTCAAACGGAAAAGAATAGAGCTCTGCTCACCGGTAATGCGGCACGCATTCAAGGGGGAGTTCCAGAGAAAAATTAGTTTGGACAAAGCCCTTGATATTTGCATGAGTTTGGGCAAAAGTTAAAATTCAATGACACCGCTTCAAAACAGCCCGGTTAAAAACACGCTCAGGTGATACGAACACGGTGATGGGGTAGTGTTTGTTTTGTGACACTCCCGAAGACTAGAACGATAATGGTAAGTACTACTGTATTATTGTCAGTAGTAACACTATCATTGTCATTGCGGCTCTGTGGCTTCCGTTATTTTAATCCTCATAAATTTTATTGATTGGATTAGTATCCAGTCAGACCTAACGGTTGAGTTGAAAACTCCCTGAGGAAGTAAATATCAACTGGCTTAGGGCGCTAACGCTGTAAGGTTAGTGTGCGATTACTGTCGATGCTGTTTGATGGTAGACACCTCAATTGTCAACTGACCCCATTGTGAAACTCCAGGTACTGGTAACTTAGGGATTCGTCTTTTCTATTGCATGCCATACAATCGAAAAAAACGAACCGAGATGACAATTACAGTGTAGACCGAAAAACTGAAAAACCGCAGACTGGTATCCTGCCTAGGGAAAACACCTGCAACGTTAAAGTGGATGAACAAAGAAAACTCAGATTTCAATGGTAGATAATAAACGGTTGCACTCGGACAAAGAATTTTTAATATGAAATACACTGAAAAACAAAATGCGTCATTGGTGTCTTTTTTTCAAAACAATCAGTAAAATCCAAAGTGCTATCAACTCTTGAGAACAATGTAGGACAGTCGGGTTCAAAGGTTTAGCTCTAATCGATTCAATTGAATGTCCATTTCTGAATTGTATTAGTCCGAAAACAGGTCACAGGGAATACGATATTCGAGCGGAAGTCAGGAGTAACATCTCACGGAACTATGATATAAACCTCTTAGTTAGGCGTCGCTGCGGCTATCAGTAATAACTGGCACATTTTTCTAGGACATTTTCCATGGACTACGAGCAGGGTGTGTTTAGGTAGTTGAAACTAGCAGTTATATGCAACATGGTATTAGAGATCCTAAACGAAAAAGAAATAAAACGCTAGTGGTCGTCAGTGATCTAGTTCACGGTAGTTCGCGTCCCGGTAGGGATAGAAAAGCAGAACTCACAACTGTTGACACCATACAGGAATGAAACAGCTATTCAGTGTATCTCTGATCGGGGTGCACGAAATCTCATTAAAATCAAAAGTTATACCAAAGTAGTAAATTGATCCGTTTTCACATAACTAAAGGAAACATTGAACAGAGCATGCGGGTTCTAACACGTGTTGATCACTAGCTGTGGTTAATACAAAGAATCGATATACTGCGCTTCCGGTAGTATTCTAGCCGTATGGGATACATAACAAAGGTTGTCTAGGATGCGTATGATTTCCGAGACTTTGCTTTGAATTTTAATTGATGCCAATTCTGGCTGCTGATAATTAAATCGATTGTGCCTAGACCGCAGTCAATCAGAAACATTCAAAGGAGAATATCGAAAAGTTGGTACTAGTGAATGATGGACTTACTGCAAATTTAAGCTTCTATTAACCATACTTTCCAGTTGTCCAGGGTCAATGGGTGTGGTGAAACCGTGGGCTTTCAGACTGTCAAACACCGACTGAAATCAGAACCAAACGGTAAAAACAATTAATTAAGGATTGACGAAATTTTCATTGTAATAATGGGTGGGTGAGTGAAGGAGTATGATAATCAATGAGCTTTAGCAACAAGACAAAAAACACTTCGATTACCTTGTGCAAAAAGAAATTTACGACTCAAAAGACGGAAAAATACCGCATTTGTTTAACAGTCTGTTTGTGCGACAATTTAATTGAAGATGCCAGATTAGAACAGAATTCTATAAAGTCATAAAAATGAACAGACTAAGTTCAAAGGTTGATAAATCAAAGCACACCAAATCAAGGAGCGATGAGTTTAAAAAACCGGACCCTTTGAGTCAAGCTCAAACGTATTGTCTGGATAAGATAGTTGAAAAGAAAACAATTACTTTCGCAAAACACCGTATATAGCGAAGGTAGAACAGAGCCATGAATGTCTAACTTTGGGTGATCGGAGCGGTAGTTTATAAATAAAATCCGCTTGTTTGATGAAAGCTTTCCATTCTTCCTTTACCTCTTCCTTCCCGTCGACAATATTATTAATACGATCACACAACTCCTCCCCCGTTTATTAACAACAAGTTCAGGTGGAAAACTACCTGATTTAGGCTAAGCAGAAAATTATTCATTTCCGAATGCAATAAATAAACAAGGATAAATTATTCTACTAGGGGAAATTTGCCATTTAAAGTGAGTTTAACAAGAACTATCTTTCAGTAAGCAGTGCGCCATGTGCATTGGGTTTCCTTGTGGTGATATTGAACAGAAGCATGCTAAGTCACCCGTTCAGTGCGACAACTGGTTCATCATTCATTCAATGACTGGAATGACAATGAAGCGTTTGGACGGGTGTTTCGGTGCAACACACGAAGCGCATTTGCGATTGTCTATAATTTATTTGAATCTGGGGGGGGGGGNAGGCTGACTTGGACGAAACCGGTGTACACTAAACGGCAATAGCAATAAGCAGAATTATATCAAAACACCGATTAGAGTATTAATTGTTGAAGACCACTAATATGGGTGTCCTAATTCGTTAGGAGTTTTGACTACAATTTGTGTCGCACAGACCGTCAGGTAAACTTGATTAGACTTCATTGAACACATGTGAGGGAAAACAGGGCTAAAGCGGATTGATCGGGATTATTTGAAATTTGAATATTTTTCCAGATGGGTATAGCAAAAGGATGAATGAACTAACGATCAGTTATTTTTTCATAACGATTGCTCACCAATGCTGCGTTTTTCAGTTGTGCGAATAGCCGATGCCCTCGGGCGCTGAATTCAGCATTCGGGTCCCGAGGACGAAGGTCACTTGATGAGCCAGTTTCGGACACAGGTATGCCGGCAGGACCGCTTTCTGGCCTCTTCAACTCTGTTATCGTAAGTTCATTGATCCAGTCGACAAAAGCCATATAGGCCTCGTGAAAACTGGAAAGTTTGTCCAGGGCAGTCCGACTGATTGAAACAAAATGCAAGTGCATCTTAACACTTGAGATAACATTATAGTTATGACATTTGTGTTTAATGAGCACTGAACAACTTCCGGGACTCGTCATTAATGCGTACGTTTTGCGTCCCTGTTGAGGCTCAAACCGCTGGGTTTTGAGTTCAACTTCAAAATCCTAGGCGCTGAGCAACACGATCAATTCGGTATTTCCTTGCATCGTTCATAGACACCGTTGTCCGGGTCGGTCATGTACAAGCAAATCGTACCATATATAAGTTACATGAAGAACAAGTGACGAATTCACAAACCCTAAAAGAGTGAAGGTTATATAAAAACAAAAACGAATTGTAGCGATTGGTAATCCGGGAATCGCGTACATAAGGAAAATGGAAACCAATTCAGTAAGGACGTTTTGGTATACAAAATTCAACGACAACTAAGATGAAAAGCGAACTAAAGCGAATGTTTCTTTCTAAAATGTACTTTAGGTAACTTAGTCCGCTAAACTAGGGAACAGGTCCCCTTGCCCCAATCAACCGATAACAGCTAGTTCTGAGGAAGTTCTTCGTGATACCTGAGATCACCCGTTGACTGGCTCCGAAAACATCATTATGAGTTCAGTTTGAAAAATATAAATTTATCGCCTCAATGTCTGTCACTCAAAGATTTTTCTATAATGATGGCGACAAAATAAAAGAGCAAAAAACAATCATTATTATGAAAACTCGATGACAGAAAGGTAACCGTAGTACATTAGAAAGATATCACAACTTACTTTGCCGGAGAAAATGCCAACAGTGAGTTGGTAGGGTCGGACGAATCCACAACTGGTTGAATGCACGCAGCACCGGAGGCCACACGGATACGTATTAACCGGACACATTCGAGGAGCTGACTGACTAAATGTTCCCGGTTATCCGGCCTTATATTCTGACGAACCACACTTGCAGTGTAGGCCAACTCTAGCAACAATTTGCTGTGAATTTCAGCGAAATTTAATGGTGGCTGGAAGAGAACACGAGGAACAAACGAGTTTATTTAATTCCGTTGAAAAGAAGTCATTCAGCCAGCACACAGGTGTGACAGTTTGGATTGTTGTTTTATGGCTATTCATTTGAAGGAAGGATTTTAGGGAAAAAGTACACTCCTGAAGATGGTGCCAATGTGAAGATAAAGCATGGAGATAAATTAAAGTTGCAAAGAATTTTATTAGATCTAATAAGAGATATCATGCTTCAATACGCCAGTACATACAGGATTATCAGCTAACTACGAAAAGATAATGGGAAATGAGTAGCTAAATTCTGATCGATCATAGTCCCCTAAAATAATATGCTCCGCACGGAAAGAGTATCTAAAAGACTACAGTGCGATCCTTCAGTGATAATCCTGATTCACTGATGATTCATTTAGAGAAAAGTTACAGAATGGAGCTTTCTGTATCCACTTTCTGATGAAACAATCCCGAGTTGAATTGAAAACTGGTTAACCAGAATTCACTCTAAAATGAATTTTCTGCTACGCAAAGAACTGCGCTCGCCTTGAAGCAGCACAAAGTCAGCAATGCGCACTCGTCGTGAATCAACCCCAAAACCTATACAGGAAAAATCACTAACACAAGATTATAACCAACAATGTTGTTGACAGCTTTACGGTCATTTTCAGCTTTTCAATTCAAGTTTGATGCCGTGTTGTTTCAACCAGTAACAATAAAAAATGAAGCTGCATATTTAAAAGATTATTAGGGCCAAACGGTTATTTGGAAGCAATAGATCCGAAAACCTCAGTATGATCGGGGTGGGTGTCTTGGGTTGTGGCTGGACACTCTTCTCTTGCATCTCACGAAATGCTACCCAACAACCAAGCTCCTCAAATAGCCTCTTATGAGGAAAGTCTACTCACTGCCTTCTTATGGCGGTGTTTCCCATCAAAACTGAGAGGATGAAAATCCGGGGCTGGAACTGGGTCGATGAACCACTGGCAGTTCACTGAATGGATCTGGTTAAAATTGCTGATCACAAACCAACTAATAAGAGGCGAAGGAACCACACCATGGTCAGCGGCTCAATTGGATATCGAGGTGTACTGGGCACCTTGGACGTTTGACCGCGTTCAGAGAGCGTATGATCCGATGAACTGGACACCGAAGCTCAACGGATTGTGGTATTTACACACCGTCCGCTGCTTTGCGGGTCAGACTTTGACTGGTCAAAGGCTTCGTTTGTGAATTTTCCAAGAAAAATCCCTCACCTTGTCCTGGACAACCGGGCGGTACTCCGCCCGCAAGCAATGCATGGAACTTTCTCTTTTTTACAAAGATTATTGTACTATGATTTGTTTAGCACGCGGTCTGGATTCAGATGCGTGTGAAATACACAAATACAATACCTTCTATACGATTTCTGAGCAAAGCCGTGAGGTCATTCAGTCAAAAGACCGGTCTGAGATCTGTATCCCTCTAGAAAGTTACTTACCCAAGAAAGGATAATGCAACAGTCCTCAGAAGATTAAGGAAACAAAGGAAGAACTTGGCAACGGTGATACTTTTAAAACTTAGTAACACGGCGCTTAGAAATAAACCTGGTTATTAAAAACAGAAAGAATATAGCACACAAAAAACTTACCACTTTAGTTTTGTTAGTTTTCCGTTTAAACCTCGTAAATATTCCTGCAAGATGTTTTCCGCCTTTTATGTGTGGAATAAACATACGAATCGACCCTTTTTTCCTTCTTCGATCATCCGAACATCCACTTCGAACACTAGCGCTCGATTCAGCAGGAGTTAGAGGGTTATCGAGCGATCCACTTTGAATCTGACCCAGATCTGATCCAGTACGCTGCATCGTGTTCTTGAACAAAGTCAGTGGAGCACCATGAAAAGATGACAGCTATTCAGGCTAGAAAGTAAACACAGTTTCGTTATAATTTTTGTAGAAAAATTTGGAAAATAATGCGAACAGTTTATTCAGTGATTAGTGATAGTGTATCACTTTACAACCCGTTCTGCATACAAATTTTGAGTAGATTAGTAGAATGACTTGAGCACATGATTAAAAGTTGTGCGAACCAGCAATCCTAATAAGAGCTATTTCTCTTGCCGGTCCATGTCTTGCGCAAGGATGAGTCAGTTTAATTTTTGTCAGACGACAGCTGTCCACAAGCGGCGTTTAGTGACAAGGTGGATGCAAAAAGCCGGTTTTGGTTCCAACTTCGGAAGTCACGCACGGCTTTCAGACCAAGGCAGTCCATCTATTCTGTGCTTTTAGTGATCTAAGTCTTGAACTGGACACCGATGGGTAAGTGTCATCCCTAACACGGCGTTGGGAATAGAGCTGTTGGAAAGCACCGCAGTGGGACGCCAGAGAACATGATAAAATCTCTAAAACCAGACGACGGAATATGTACTCTGGTGGATCAGGATCAGCGAATTTGCTTACTACTATACGACATTAAATATCCGCGAGTGACACCAATAAAAACTGCATAGGAACTTTACGAAGTCCTTATGACAATTCCATGACAACTGGACAAGCGACGTATACCTTAGGGAGTGACTTCCCTTTACTTTTCATATTCGAAATGGAGCCCACATCGCATGGTTACCCAATTATCATTGATTCGACAAACGGCTGGCCCTTGAAAAGCTTGAAACTACGATCACTTTCAGTGACATTAATTTTCCAAACAATTCGTCAAAAGAGGGTCAGCCAAAATGTAACTCTGCACCCTACTGCTTGCTGTGCAAAACTTTGTCCTGTACATATCATGATCACAAGATAAATAAACATTTGCTTTCAGCGACCTCGGGATGACAATTAGTTATATTCTCGTTTTATGAGATGCTTCTTCTGAATGAGCCTAGCAATGCACTCAGGCGGAAGATCCTACGCATTCAATTCTCACAGAAATGCATTAAACATCCTGGCAGTAAAGTTATCCAAAAATTGGACATGTTTCTCTTGAGGGAAAATTAATGCAGTAGCAGGAAACAGGAAAACAAGTTTGGTTTTATGGGTTCCTCAGTGTCAAGTATTGTACTGCACCGCTCTCTTTCTCACTTTCAAAAAATCTGGGAGGAGATTTTAGGGGACAAGTTAAATATCCCATGAAGTATTGTGGGGAAAAGTGTGGAAATCACCTAAGGGTTTCTGAAAATGTGGTGTGTTGCTAAAAGGCAACTGAATAATTCCATTTGTGAAAGGTTAGTCTTTTGTTGTTTATGAGCAATATTACCGGTTAAAACCAATGGCTCACCCGGGCAATGAAATGATTCGTGTTTGGTTTTTGAGAAAGATAGGCCTACAATTTATCATTTATAATCTGTTTATAGCTTTTGGATTATATTATATTTCACATGCGTTTGAGTCGAGATTGTTTGCTAAACAAATCATGACACGACAATTTTTATGAAACAGAAAAAAGTTCATGATTTATTAGTAAGCAGAATACAGCCAAGTTGCTCAGATCCAAACCAGTGGATATTTTTGGAAAATTCACTACTGGAGCCTTTGGTTAGCCTAATTCTGATTCTCAAGACAGTTGAGCGGCATTTTAAAACAGCATCCAGTGGGCACCAGTGCCCAGCTCATCGGATCATACGCCCGTCGGACGGGGTCGAATGTCCAAGGTGCCCAATACAGCTGGACGCCCAATTGAGCCAGCGATCATTGCCACAACCGGGATGGCGTAGGTGTAGTTGATACGCCCCTTCTTTGTAGGTTTGGAATCAAGGTTTTTGGCCAACTCCTCTAGGTGAACTACCAGTGGCCCACCAACCCGATTATATCCCCGGATTCTGGGTCTTCGTCATCTACATTTGACGAGAAAACACCTCCGCTACGAGAAGGCAGTGAGTTGGGCCTCCTTAGAAGAGGCTATTATAGACGCCTGGTTTTATGGGAGCATTTAGTGAGGTGCAACGGTATGGTGACGTGACACAAACCAAGGCACCCACTCCAGACTATACTGATGCTTTTAGAGGCGTTATAATACGCGGTTTGATACGAACTTCAGGTCAGGGAACCATGGCTACACCTTTGGGCCGCGCGGTGGTTCGCCGGATTACACTATTTGGAGTCCTCTTTTACATGCCCTAATTGTAATTCAATGATGACTACCCATAGTTTTTTACTGTTGCACGGTAGCGTAAGTGCTTCATTTATAAGTAAACCTGAGGGTCTATGTTCTGCGAGACGCATTAATAAGGCTTTGGAATTACTTATGAGGCAACCGCGCGTGCCCCCTCGCATGTGTTCCACATGCCCCACACATTGGTGCCACTGTTCTGTGTGAGTTTCCAGTGAAGACGTAAACAGACTCAACCCCCTTCAGATAAAAAAGTAATCAGCCCAGAAGAATAGCAGAAGAAAGGAAAGTTGAAAGTGGAGTCGAAAATGGAGAAGTTCAGTGGTCTAAGGTTGCAAAGAAATTGAGGAGATGCACAAACGCCACTGGTTGTGACACCCAGCCATACCACTCAGTGTCTCTAACCATCGGTTACGATCATCCCGAGGTCCCCAACCAGGGAGCTTAACAGGACCTATGTGACCCAGTCTCCTGGTTAGGGTTTTCATACCCTCGTGCCAGGTGTTGGCTTGACCACCCTTGACTTTTTTCCGCTCGGTCTCTGCTTCGCCGAACATCGCTCGCCGCGGCAACCTGTCTGGTGACATGCGTAATAAATGCCCCAACCAACCTAATCTATGGAGGTCGACCACTTGCTCCAGTGCGCGACCGCGGATGCCCAAAACTCTGCGCCTCACCTCAGCATTGCTCATCCGGCTACCCTACCAGATTCGTGCAATGCTGCGTAGACAGCGGTGTTTAAACACCGACAGTCTGTCTTCATCCTGTTTTCTTAATGTTTCTGCACCGTATAGCAGGACTGGCCGAACTGTCGCGGCATACACTCG